TTTGTCTGCTAGTTCAGGATGAGTATGTTCTTTTGTTGCATAAGCATTGTTAGCTCTTTCTTCTTCTTTTGCTATTGCATCGTCTACATATTCTTTGTCAGCTTTGTTGTCAACATCTGCTTTCAAAAGAAGTTCATTTATAGGTTTCTCGTTTAAAATTCCTTTTGTTGGATTTATACAGACAGTATGGTTCTTATTGTCTTGAAACAGAAACTCATCTGTCATTGGGTTTAATGTCAGTTTTAAGTTTCCTTCTTTCAATGACTCAGATATCTTAGAATAGTTTGAAAAGTTTGTTGTGTTCTTATTTAGAGCTTGCATAATGAGTTGTCGGTTGTGTTGTATTTCTCTCATGGAAGCAATATCTTTCGACATTTTTATTCTAGATAAAATATGCTTTCAATAGAAAAAGAAAATTCAAGAGTTGCTACAACTAAACCATTAGATGAACTTTTTACTAATGTCGGTCAAAAGTTTGAGACAGAGACCGTAAAGCATGAAGGCTATCGTTTTGACTACCCATTAAGATGGCTAAGAGACCCATCTGTCACAAAAGCTATTGGCTTTCGTAGAATGAAGTTCATTTCAGAAGCCATACATGGTTTCCCATTTACGGTCGGTTTTGAAGTTCGATACTATAACAAAGAAAAACGTATGTATGAGAAATTTGAACAGGGAAAACTTTTACAAGTTAGTTTGCTTGTAAACTTAGAAACAACTCTTCAAGCTTTTCAGAAAAAATAAACGATATCTATCTCGAATATGCAAAACAGTATAACATTGACGAAGGAGAGTACCATCTCGATATTATTTATGACAGGAAAAATGCAACTGTTAAAATCAATAGAATAGAAGACCTTGGAGAAAACGTTTATATTTCTACAAAATATAACAACTTGGCATGGTATAGATTTATGAGGATGTTAAATCAGCCTGCAGCATATCCAGTACACCCAGACTTTTATGAAGTCGAAAACCCTAATGGAACATATGAAAATATTTTCGACCCAGATGCTATTATTGTTCATGCTTCATTTTCTGGTGCGCAAACTCTTTCTTATGTCTGATGAATGATTTTTACGAAAAACCTACAAAGTTATACGAACCACCAAGTGGAAGTATTTCAGACTTTCAAGTATGGTTTACTACAGATGGAAGAAAAAGAATAATTCCATTATACCATGCGTTTTACTTAGAACTTAGTTTCATATACAACTACTATCGAACGGTAAAAATATAATTTTTAATACGGTTGAGGTGTTGGATTTGGTTGCCAACTAGACTGTGGTGCAGGTTCAGGCTGTTGTATAACAGGAGCTTGTTCTTCTGGTTCAGGGTCTTTAGGTATAATACCAACGAACTGACCTACCCTTTTACCAATATTTTGACTCCGTTCCAAATTCCTCTTCCTACGGTTTTTATTCCATTCCATATACCTCTTCCAACATTTCGAAAGAAGTTTCCAATACTACTGAAGAAACCCATTTTACTATATGTAAAAATCTAATGTCCGCCTAGTCTCTTACGTTTCCTGTTGAGTTCCATAGCATTCTTTAACTGGAGCTCATACATTCTGTTTCTCCTCTGGTAGAAAACATATTCTGGGTCAACTCCTGTGTTCGCGTCATCTGCATAAGTTGTTTATATCCACTTCAGGGTTTGTATAAAACTCTTTCCATCTCATATTTGCATACCATGGTGGCAAACCTAACGCAGCGTCATTTGACATGGCAGTTTGCATTGTACATCTGTTGGCACTTGACCATAGTTTGCCATTGCAGTTTGTATTCTAACTTCATTTGGAATATTCTCTGGTTTGGTTGTCCAGGTTGCTGTGCATTCGCTAAGTTCTGTGCGTCCATTTAATATTAGATAAAAATATCTCTTACGAGTACATATACTGAACATTTGCAGGCATTGGTTCATCTTCATATTCTCTGTACTTTTCTGCCACGTCAAAGAAATAAATGACACAATGGAAAAAACCTAAAACAAGTAGTCCTATTTCAAACCACATTTACTTACTAATAAAATTTCTTTATTGTGACACTTTCTCCAGTTTATAGGACCTCTCTCATATTCTATCTTGTCATATCTAAACTCATAGTCATGTATGTCCTCTAACCATCTCATAACGGTTTCCAAACCACTTTTATCGGATGTAAAGTAAAAGCATGGATGGTTATGTAAAACGTCTAAAGTTTCTAAAGAGTCTCTCAAAGTCCAGTCTACTTGGTATTGAAAATCCCATGTGTTATAGAACGGCGGGTCCACTATAAAGAAAACATTTTCCTTGTCTTTATATTTTTCATACAACTCTGTCCAATAACATCTCACAAACTCTATACCCTCAATATATTTTTCTATGTCCTCTTTGAAAACATTTGTATAGTTAAGATATAAAACTTTGACATAAGTGTTTCAATGTCATGAACTCTTATAGAACCACTATATAATAGTCTAGCAGATATACTATCCCAGTCTATATATTCTGCTTTTTTCAAAACCTCTCTCACAATATTTTTCTTATCTAATGGTATACGTTCCATCTTACCTATAGGTATCTTTTCTTTTAACTCTTTCAATATATTGTTTGTGTCTGGAATATGTTTGAGACGGTCCATATAGTTGTCGAAGTCATTGCATATAATCTTTGAGTCTGGGAATATTGTATGGCACAAATGGGATATATAGAAACTTCCACCGAACAAATCTACAAATGTTAGACCATTCGGTAGTTTCTTAAGTTCTCTCAATATAATATCTTTACATTTACTCTTATTTCCAAAGAACGGTAACGGTGGTTTTGTAAAATTCATTTATATATAATAATAAAAATGTTTTTTTCCTGAAAAGTGACAGAAAAGTGACAAAACATGAAAACATATATAATTTGTGAAAAGCGACACATTATATAATGTTTTCGACCCAGAAGAAGGCTTCTTCCCAGAAGCAATGGAGGAAGAAGAAGAGTCCTCCGAATTCACACCAGAAGACTAACAATTTTCCGAATAAAAACTTCATTTATACTAAACATCTTCGGGGCTAGAGGGCACGAAGTGCCTGGAAGCCCCACTACCTTTTTTTTTGTTTCGTTTTGCGAAAAAAACGTACAATACGCAATTTCGCTAAAAAAACATTTAGCTAGCAATTTCGACATTTGACTCCACTCAAGACGTCACTTTTTTAATTTTGCGGTATCATATTTTTGGAAAATCTTTATGAATATTATATAAAAAGTCTCTTTAATATCTATATTTCATATTTTTATCGATTTTTAAAGTTTTTGCGAAAAGTATTCAATTATTTTTGCTATTTTGTCGGGTAAATGTCAGATTTGCGACATTTTCTGATATGATATTCAGATTCTACGTTGATAATAATGCTTATAGAACCCTCTTGCTATTGTGTCAAAATTGCGAAACCGATAGCAAAAATATCTCGCAATATCAAAATTGAGATATTGAGTGAATTATGCATTATAGAGATTAAAAATCTGATTTGTGAAAACATCTCATCAGTTTCTAGCTAATTCAAAAATCTTTACTATCTTATTCGATTAAAATGAAAAGGGAATAGTTTCATTATGCTTTAAATGACAGCCTTATAATATAATCATAGTTTTCGCTCAATATGCAGCATTTTTTTTCGAAATCTATGGTCAATGTCCTAAATACTGATTGCTTTGCATTAATATCTCTTACATTTTCTATACCCACATCACTATTCATTGCTATTCCTATCTTTTTCATTTTTGTTTGTTTCTCATAATTTCTCAAAAAACATGATAACTTGATATTTGTAAATATCATACTTTATAACGTAAATAAGAACTTGACCTATTAAGAAAAGCAGTAATGAAAAGAAAATCTGAAATTCATAAAAATTACAAGTTTCTGATGACAATTAGCTTAATTAAACCAGGTACAAGATTATATAATTGTATTTTCTATCCAATTATCCATATAATATCTTATCCAGAAAAAATAACTTGATCAATACCAAATGATTTTTTAACTAGTAAATAAAGTATTTTCTTTACACACATTGTATATCATAGTTTTTTTTTGGTTTCGCAAAACATCCAAAAACAAATATGCTATAAAAGTGACAATTTTAGCAAAACGAAACCCTTACTTTTATTTATTATTTTAAATATTATTTAATTTTATTATTTGAATAGGCCAACTTATATTTGAGAAGCTCAATTTGAGACCACTTAAAACATTGAAATATCATAAATATTGAAATATTAAAAAGTGTATTTCAAAATATTGAAATTATAAAAATTTATAATACTGAAATTGAGACAAATTAATAAATTCAATGCGTTTTTTTTTGAAATAACTCTCAAATATTATTTTTTTGTTTATTTAATGATCAATAAATATGATTGCTTTAGTCAATCATAAAAACTAATTTAAGTTTAAAATAATGAAAGGATAATTTGATCGTTTTTTAAAATACAATTATTTTTGATGATTTGCAAGAATCTTTGAAAAGAATATAATATAGGTTCTATTTTTGTAAAATTTATCCAAATCATGTATTACATAAATTACGATTAAAACGATGAAAGAACCAAAAAGTGTGTTTTGTGTTTTGTTGTTGCGTTTGGATGCGGGATCCTGTTATTTCCGAAATCGACAAAAAATTTGGAAATTTAATTTCCGAAATCGAAATTATATTAATGTTTTTAATATTCTTATATCAAAAGGATTAAAGTTCATTAAGAGAAAAACAATTCTTCTTCTTCAATCTATTGGCGCATTTATTTCTACACGCCAATAAGGAAGGGAAAATTATAAGACACCATGGTGTCTTCAAAACGCTAATTTTTGATATTTTTAACAACCCTATTTACAAGCACTCGTCCAGCGAATTTACAAGTTTATACATATTCCATAATGGAAAATTCTACAATTGCATTGAAGTCTTACCAACAAAAGATGAGATCTTGTTGAATCGATACTTGGAAGAACACGAAATTACACAGAGTAATGGTTCTACTCCTCTTAGTAGTGCACAACAACAGCTCAGACCCAGCAATGGTACATCTCCTCTTAGTAGTGCACAACAACAGCTCAGACCCAGCAATGGTACATCTCCTCTTAGTAGTGCACAACAACAGCTCAGACCCAGCAATGGTACATCTCCTCTTAGTAGTGCACAACAACAGCTCAGACCCAGCAATGGTACATCTCCTCTTAGTAGTGCACAACAACAGCTCAGACCCAGCAATGGTACATCTCCTCTTAGTAGTGCACAACAACAGCTCAGACCCAGCAATGGTACATCTCCTCTTAGTAGTGCACAACAACAGCTCAGACCCAGCAATGGTACATCTCCTCTTAGTAGTGCACAACAACAGCTCAGACCCAGCAATGGTACATCTCCTCTTAGTAGTGCACAACAGTTTAATCCTCAAGCCACTCCTTCAAACCAATCATCTGGTACATACAATCAAATTGATCCTAATCCCATCAGTTCCGATCAATCAAGTCAACGTGCCAATCCTCCTAATCCTCAATCTCGTCCGCACGACCAGTTTGTTGATATTCCACTTTCCCGTGGTAGACCCAAACAACCAGTTCCTGATGATCTCATGCAGGCCATTCTCAATTTATTCGAACAACATGGGCGACATGGTATCATCCCCACTTACCTTAGGCTTAATAAAGATATAGCATTCGCCCATGAGCATGAACGAAAAAACCAGAATTTTCGAAAAAGTAACACCAACTATTAAAGTTATTTTATTACTAGATTTATTTACAAATTATAAGATAATATCATTAACCGAATATATTTTTAATATAAATAAAAAACTTTTTTTATACAAAAAATTACAATCAATCGATAAATATTATAAAACATTTATTCCAAAAAGATTAAGTAATAGGTGGGATCCTGCATATAATATAATTTTATGTCATAAAGCTTACAAATTTTAGATGGACCACAGTGAGAATGTGAGTGGTTAATTTAAAGGTGGTCTGATAAAGATATCGAAGCTTACTCAACACAGCATGAAGCAGTTTCTAATACACAATCTTACTAGTGGTGTTTCGGTCGCCAGCGCTCTCATAGGGATGCTGATTTCAAAAACCACTACTTCAAATTATTCAACAATACTCAACACAGCATGAAGCAGTTTCTAATAAATATATACATATATAAATATATACATATATAAATATATACATATATAAATATATACATATATAAATATATACATATATAAATATATACATATATAAATATATACATATATAAATATATACATATATAAATATATACATATATAATATATACATATATAAATATATACATATATAAATATATACATATATAAATATATACATATATAAATATATACATATATAAATATATACATATATAAATATATACATATATAAATATATACATATATAAATATATACATATATAAATATATACATATATAAATATATACATATATAAATATATACATATATAAATATATACATATATAAATATATACATATATAAATATATACATATATAAATATATACATATATAAATATATACATATATAAATATATACATATATAAATATATACATATATAAATATATACATATATAAATATATACATATATAAATATATACATATATAAATATATACATATATAAATATATACATATATAAATATATACATATATAAATATATACATATATAAATATATACATATATATATAAATAACAAAATACAATCAAAAAATAGTGTTTGGAAATTTAAGGTTAAGTGTCACTTTTTCGTAAATTCTACCACACTCGAACAACATGGGCGACATGGTATCATCCCCACTTACCTTAGGCTTAATAAAGATATAGCATTCGCCCATGAGCATGAACAAGATTTTGTTCGAATGAAAGATGGCCGGCTTCCAGTTATGAGCTCAACACAGGACTGGTTTCAGAATGTGCGACGTGACAAGCCTCTCAATCTTATCTCTAAAGAAATCCCCGCTGACATTAATCAAGATGATAACCCTACTCCATATGCTATAAATTTACAAAATATCAAATATCTTCCTCTCCCTCTACCTCAGGCTCCATCAAGGCATATGGTCGAAAAGGCTTTTATCATTCTTGGATTAACACGTCCACGGGGACCCAAGAGACCTAAAGGGAGGACAAGATACGAGGCTTTACTTCCAAATCAAATCTGGCACGTTGACATTCACTTTCTCAATAAACGCAGAAGTGAATTATTGTATGGAGTAATAGATGATTGTACCAGAATGGTTTTGGAGTGGCAGCATCTCTCCTCCAAACATGCAAATCAGACCGTTAAGGTAATTGAGCGGGCCATAAAACGTTTTGGTCCCCCTCATACCATATGGTCTGATAATGGAGGAGAGAATAGAGGTGAATTCCTACAAGCGATGAGATGCAAAGGAATTCGAAATGTCTATATTGTGCCACATTGCCCTTACCAAAACGGTAAGATTGAGCGATTGTGGCCCAATATAGAAAACCGCAATCTAACATGGAGTAAAATTCAGAGTTGGGTCAATTCCTATAACTCCAAGCCCCATGTCGCACTACCGACACGTCTTCTCAATGGAAGGAAAATCAATTATAGTCCAAATGAATTATGGATGAAGGGGCCCATTTGGAGACCAGGAATGCCTGCCAAATGGGTAGTTGATGGAGTTACCCAAGACTTTCTCCCAGGATCAGTACAGGCTAGAGAAATACCAGAACTCCAAGATGAGGAAGAAGAAATCGATAATAAAGATGGTAAAAAAGAGAAGGAGGGACAAAGTGAAGAATATGAAGGTGGATATGAAGAAGAATATGAAATAAATTATGAAGAAGATAATGATGAATAAAATGTCACTTTTTATATTTTTGACACGTAAAGTTGTCACTTTTCTGTCAAACTGTTTTTATCGTTTTCGTATATAACATGTGTAATAAACAGAAATTCATCAAAAGTGACAGCTCTCAATTTTTTTGACATTTGTAAATTCTAAATTGAATGAGAAAAATGAAATAATACTAAGCATAATACAATATTCTAGATTTAATTATAATTAGGAAAAAGTTAGTTTTGAGAGTACTTTTCATAGGCATATAGAATGAAATCTTCTGAAAAATAATATCACATAAACTCATATTATTTTCTAATATATAACTATTTTATATAAAAATCAAATTCAATGATCTTAAAAGCGAAGGATAAACCTCAAAATTTACGAATATAATGAGTGGGAATATAATGCTTATCTATCATAAAACCATATGAAATATCAATTTTTGCTTTACGCCTAATTTTTGACGACAATTAGCAAAAAATGTTAAATGTTAACACTCAGTCCATTTGAATATGAAAAATAAAATTGACTTTGATTAAATGTTTTTATTTATCATGCAATTCTTCTTGCGACCAAAGATTTGAATAAAATTTCAAAAAATAAGATAGCTTAAAAAATAATATACGGTAGTGTTTACTAATAGATGAATAGTATATAAATTCTATTAAAATGGATTTGATCCAAAAAAATATATAAAATTTGATCATAAATAAAATCGTTTTAAATTACTTCTTCATTTAAATTATAACAATTATTTTTGATTTTTATTTATCATCCACATTCAAATTTGAATCTTATCACAAAAGAAGGACCACTTTTATGACTACTGCCAAATCTATAAGCAGAGAATGGCTATTTGAAGCTAAAAGAAGAATAGAAGAAGGTGAATCTTACAAAAGTGTGGGAAAGGAAGTTGAATTGGAAAATGGTAAAATTCAATTGAATGTTGCCGAAAATACAATAAGAAGAGCATTTCAACTTCAAGAAATCGAATTACCAAAAGTTAGTCGCGGCAGAAAACCAAATCCACCAACATTTGAGCAAAAACAATTAATTAATTCTTGTGTTTCACAATATAAAGGAAGAATTTCAAAAACTTATTTATTGATTAAAAGGTTTCAAAATATTGCTCAAAATCCCGATTGTGAGAAAGAAAAAGAAGAAATTGCAAAAGAATTTGAAAATATAGAAGATTTGACAAAAGATCAAATTTTTGACAATTTACAAAAAATAAAGCATCATCAAGTGGAAAAATTTATGATGGAATCAGGTTTATCTTCAAAAATATATTACAAACCAGTAGATCCACCTACCAAATATCGTGCCATATCAAAGAATTTGATATGGCACTGCGATATTCATTACCTTCACGGTAATGTTTCTTTTCCATTTTTTGCCATATTGGATGATATGACACGTAAAGTTCTCAAAACTAAATTATTGAAAAACAAGTCTTCCAACTCAACAGCGAAGGTTTTAAGAAAACTTTTAGAGGAGTTTATTCCTTACTGCATCTGGACCGATAACGGCGGTGAAAACCGCGGTGAATTCGGCCTGGTTATGCAGGAAAACGGAATAGTTTGGAAGCACACCTTGCCGTATATGCCAAGACAGAACGGCAAGGTGGAGCGCCTGTGGCCAAGCTTAGAAAAGTTTTTGCCAGACGAGTTGGATGATATTCAACAAATCAAGGACTCAGTTCAGCAGTTCATTGAAAAATACAACAATACACCACATTTATCTCTCGATATTAATCCAAAAACGAATAGTAATTACACTCCTAACGAATTATTCGAAGTTTCAAAATTTTGGTACGAGCCAGAAATGCAAAAATGGGAGTTATATATCAAAGACGAATGGGTCTTAGCAAAATTTGAATAATTACATCATTTTAAATGACTACTAAACAATTTTATTTATGATCAAATTTTATATATTTTTTTGGATCAAATCCATTTTAATAGAATTTATATACTATTCATCTATTAGTAAACACTACCGTATATTATTTTTTAAGCTATCTTATTTTTTGAAATTTTATTCAAATCTTTGGTCGCAAGAAGAATTGCATGATAAATAAAAACATTTAATCAAAGTCAATTTTATTTTTCATATTCAAATGGACTGAGTGTTAACATTTAACATTTTTTGCTAATTGTCGTCAAAAATTAGGCGTAAAGCAAAAATTGATATTTCATATGGTTTTATGATAGATAAGCATTATATTCCCACTCATTATATTCGTAAATTTTGAGGTTTATCCTTCGCTTTTAAGATCATTGAATTTGATTTTTATATAAAATAGTTATATATTAGAAAATAATATGAGTTTATGTGATATTATTTTTCAGAAGATTTTGTGTTCTTCTTCAAAATTTTATTTTTTTATTAAAAAGAATCTTTACAAAATATACATTTACTTTAATTAATATTTAAAAACGTGCTCTATCAAAAGTTCCAAAAATTCAATATTTTAGCTTTTCTGAGGTGTCACTTTTGATGAATTTCTGTTTACAACATCATCCCAATTCACTATCTTTGGTTTATAACTTGAAAAGTTATCAATAGTTAAAATTGTTAAAGAACGCTGGGAACTAATAGGGTTTCTTGTACGGATGTCACAAATCTTGAATTTCAGGTGTGGTCAGACACTCGTGTCTAGACACTTTTTTGTACGTTAATATTGTACGTTAATTTAATTAGCTCGGCAAACGCCGAGCTTGCATGCCACCAAGAACATAGCTTTAACTCGCTCACTGTTCTTGGAGGGGCAAACATTATGTTTTCTAATGAAGTTCTCTGATTGGCTCCAATTCATCTTCAGCAATCAGAGAGCTTCATTAGAAAACAAATTCATTATTTTCCCTTACCCTCGGATGGTCAGGGAATGTATTTTAACTACCTTAGAGCAAGGTTCTTCCAAACCTTCTTTAATTTATTTGATCCATTGGAAGAATCTTGCTCTATTCGTCTTAAATACAGAATCCTTGACCATCCATAGGTTAGGGAGAGTAGCAATATTAGCTTCTCATGTAGTACTTTGACTAAAATGTTAAGATCTTTTCATATCCCAGTACTTCATGAGAAGCTAATACTGTTTAACTACGCTGGCCTACTGATGGCTATAAGAACTTCATATTAATGTAAAGTTCTTTTGAGTTTCATCATCATAAGATGTAGCTCAAAGGAACTTTGCATTAATTGAAGATAACAAACATTACCAGACTAATAGATACATTACTTATGGGCAGAGCTCGTTCGAAGTCACACAAATATTGGGAGACTTCAAATGATCTCTGCTCATAATATTATAAATATACGTATCTAATTCTTTGATGCAAATATAAGTATTCAACTCACACTAATTGGGGGATTCTACTGATGCTTCATTATTGATTAGAAACATCAAGTAGAAAACACCATAAATTCATATACGCTGCCTCTACAATGACAAGAGAGCACAAATATGCATCTTTATAACAATATAGATGCGAAGTTTCTCATTGAATGAGAAACTTCGAATATATATTGCTGTAAATATGGATTTGTACTAATCTATAACTTCGTAGGAATTATAATATTGCTTATTCCTTGAAGAATGGTAACTTATTGCGGTGGGAGATCCTTGCAAATCAAATTCAATCGAGAAGGGTAATGCTTAAGCGTTCTAATTTAGAATGCTTAAGTATTGGCCTTCTCGATAGTTAGTATCCCTATCAAGGGTACGGAGGCACTGCGCGCCTTCTTACCCATTATATGTGAATTTGACACTTTACAAAACCCTTAACGTATATTTTACAACATAAACGACAACACCAATTTAACCTTAAATATTTACAAAGCCGCCAACCACTTCACCTCACTAATGTAAAAATAAACGTTCTCACTTACAAAAGTATTGCAACTCCTCCCATTGCTGTGCTTCACATAACAGCTCATAATCTTCTGACTCACTTTCTTCTTCATATAGGTCAAAGTCACTGTCAAAATAAATGTTAGTAAGTTTTGACAAAGCTAATGAAACACGCTTACCGTTTGTATCTATTGCTTGTATAAACTTTCCATTATGTTTGTAGTCATAAACGCTCAAACTAACTTTACCCTTTCTCCCTCGTATCTGATAGAATGTATTTTCACGAGGAACGAAGAACAAGTTCTTGAACTCATGACCGTTGTAGTTTGTTATCTCAATAGTTTTCGTCATTTACATAAAAATAAACTTAAAAATAAACTTAAAAATAAATGATATCACTACCTTCACGCGTATGAAAACATAGCACAAAAATAAATTTAGGTGAAGCGGTGAAATCTCACCTCTTTTTTCACCCGGTTTTTCACCCACAATAAAAAATAAACTTAAAAATAAACGTTGTCAGAGGTGAAAAAATAAATTTAGGTGAAGCGGTGAAATCTCACCTCTTTTTTCACCCGGTTTTTCACCCACAATAAAATTTATTCTTCACTGTCGTCTGCTTTATCCAACTCTTCTAACTTCTTCTTAAGTTCAGCAATGTTGTCCTCATGAAGTTTAATCTTTCTCAAAATTCCTTCTTTATCTAATGGTTGCTTTATCTTTCTAAACTGAACTCTACCATCCTTCATAGTATGAACGTGAAAACCTTCTGGAATAGTTCCTGATTTAATGTATTCTACCAAAAACTTTTGTTTCATTGCTTCAGTGACTTTAGTCGTCATTTTACTCTAAATAAAATGTTCAAATAAAATAAAAAATAAGGTTATTTTTTCATTAAGGAAACGCGGGAGTTTTACGATTTATTTGTGGTGTGGGTTCTGGTTTAAATGTTGGAGTCGGTTTTGGAGTTGACTTTTGAACAGGAGTTTGTACTTTCATAGGTTCAGGAGTCATTGAAGGTGTTGTTTGTTAAGGCGTTGGTTTTGGCGAAGGTGTCGGAGTTTGTTTAACTTCAGCTACTTCAGTATTATTTACAACATTTGCTTTATTTCTTTTCAACATCATTACTGCTCCTGCTGTAGCTAGCAAACCTAGTGGGAGACCATATATTATATAGGGACTTGACCAAATGCTATTTTTGACAGGAGCTGGTGGAACACCTAACCTTGGTGAAACTGCTCTTTGCCATTGTGCAGCTCGTAAGAAATATTCAATAGGTGCTCCATAATCGTTTGGTAAAGTTTGTTTCACAGATGGTGAAGGTTCACGAGAGCTTGATGAAGAACTCATTTATAAGCTTTAAAAATAAACGTTCATCCTTTATTCCTCACTGTCGTCCGCAGCTAAGTTATAGTCATCTAATCTTATTATTGGTATGCCTGACTGTCTTACTTGTATTGCAAAGCAACAATCCCTCATAAATCCAATAAGTGGCTTTGGTACATTTTCAGTTGCTAGTTCAATAGGTCCTTTAACAGACAATTTGTATGTTATTGGAGCAGTAGATGTTTGACCCTGCATGAAGCAAAAGTCCACTTCTGTTGGAAAACCACATAAGAAATGTGTGTTGTCATAGCTATCCCATTTATGTTCCACACTACCATCATCCACCAATGACCTCATAACATCTTCATTAAATCCTATCATATCATTGTTTGTATTGCAAGCGTTCGCAACCATTTCATAAAATACAGGACCATATGATTTTTCAGATTCTGCAGGCATATTTCCATAAGCTCCCATGGAAAGCTGAAGATATTTAAACTTAGGGTTCTCAAAATTAACATAATAGTTGTCTTTCTTTCTAAATAGTGCCCAAATACTTTTAACATTAATAGGCGTATAAGCTGCTGTAAATGTTGCACTTGAACTATCTGTATTCTTTGAGAATGAACCGTCCATAGGAATCCAATCCATAACTTTAACAGGAAAACATAAAGCCTCGTTTGTATAATGTTCTACAAGTTCTGTATAAATGTTAGGGTCTAAAGAGAATGACTTTGGATGAATGAAACATTCATTAAAATCCATCTTTGTTCGAAATAGTTGCTGGGTTACAGTTGTAATAGTAACTGTTCCACTAGCTTCTATGCCTTCGTTATCATAGTGAATGGTTCATTCCATGGAACAAATTTATTTGTCGGTGGATTTGAATCTGAAGCAAATGCAACTTTAAGAGTTGGATTGAAAGCAATGATATCATTTACAGATATAGATGTGCATTGTAAGGCGTCGCTACTGAACTTTACTTTAAGCTGAATGTTTCCTGCAAAAGCTGGAATAAATCGAATAGCTTCTAATGGAAGGAATCTTCTAACAGGAATTCTTAAACGAAGCTTAAAATCAAATGATTTTCCTGCTGTAATTGGACCACTAACAATTTGTCCTGTTCTGCATGTTCCCGAATGACTCCATACATCTTCATGTCGAGTCTTTGAAAAAACATCTACTTTCTTTATTTGTTCGTAGTTGTGAGTTTGAAGTTATATATGCTTCTTCTCTTGCGTTGTCTTGAGAATATACGATACGACCATTTGCAAGGATTTGATATCAGCAACTGCATAGAAAGCGTCATCGAAACCAATCCAAAATCCTGGTGGGTTGTTTTATTGGAACCTGAACCAATTTCTTTATCTACAATAAATTGACCTTCCATTTTATACGTAATGAATGTATTGTAAAGGTCCAACATATTTTCACCAGGAGGTGAGAGATTGAATGTTACCCATGTGTTATCTTTAGCAGTTCCAGGTTGTGATGGAATCTTTGCGTCAGAATATTTTCTATTAGTGTCACCAATTTGAACTGCATTGTCTATGATATCGAAAATGAGCGAATCTGATGAATATGCTCTGCTGGAGTAAATTCGTTTAGCTGTTCGTTCTGCATGTATTTACTTCAGATAAAAATATCTATTTACTTCATTATTCTCACTCTTCTTCTTGGTATTCGTGGTGGAAGTGTTTTTTGACATTTTCAATGAACTGTACATTCTCTTTGTCTCAACTTCTTTCACTGGTGGGTCAGAGTTCTTTGACTCGTTTGCTTTTCAATGAAATTCACAAACTTTGCAATAAGCTCTTGGTTCGTTATTGAAAGTACATCTGGCTTTTTTCTTCTTTTCTTTTGGTGGCTCAGTTTGTACAGAAGGTTTTATATGGGCTTCGCCCTCGGTGCCATGCACCTTAATGTTGTCGCTCTCTGCATTCGCTAATGGAACCTTTCTTTTTCTTACATATATTTTACATCTTTACTCTGACTTACATAATAGAAAGGATGTTGTATTCTCTGGCGTCATTTAATATAATAGACTCTCGTTCTGATTTTGACAAGCTCATTTTACACCGGTTAAAGTTTTAATTTTGTTTTTTATCTGCAGTCAAATGACTCAGACAAGTCCTACGGACAAGACCCAAGGGGTCATAGATGTTGAAGCATTGAAGAAAGAAATTCGTGAGCAAATTTTATCCGAACTGAAGGAACAAAAAACAAGAAACAAAGCCAGAGAAACCAAAGAGAAAGTTAAGTGAAAAACAACTTGCTGCATTAGCTGCTGGAAGACAGAAGAACCACGTTTGCTGGCGAAGAAAGCTAGAGAAGAAGCAAAAGCAAAGGAAGAACAAAAAGCTAAAGAAGCTGAAGCAAAGAAAGAGTAAATGGTTTATTTTTATCGGAACTAAATGTATAGACAAATACCTTTATCTGTTGCATTCAGTAGTGAAAACCCTGACGTCAAAATAAAGGGGAACAGAGTAACGTTTAAGTTTCCAAAGACTGGATTTGAACATAAATGAAGAGAAGTACATTGGCATAACAAATATGTATATAACACATGCTTTCAGAAAGGTTGAATTTATACTTCAAGTCGAGATAGAAAATGACGAACAGTCTTTAAGTGCCCAAAACATTCACATATACAAATACTTTAAAGACGATACAACATTACAACAATGTATGATTTCATTTAATGAAATGTTCGAGAAAAAGTTTAACATTGAAGTACAAACTTTACAGCCTTTACGTGAGTTTCTTGCACAACTGAAAGAAGAAGGTAGTCGGCCACAACTTATAGACTTTCATTATGAATTTAATGAAAATGAAGATGGAACTCATGACTGTCAGTTTGTTATATATTCACCATTCAATGAAGTCGCTAAAAAGAAAGAAAATCCACTACGTATAAGATTTCAAATCTCTGAACCCAATGAAGACTTCAAGAATTTTTCAATTATGATGCAATGCTTCCGAGGAAAAATGAATTTTCGAAGATTGTAACACCTGGCATTTGGGATAGAAAGCAAGCTATATTATATTCAAACTTAAGTAAGGGAGTTGAAAATGAGTTCATTGGTCATACAAGAACTTCACCACTTCCTAACCCTAAATACTATAAATTAACTGGCTTCAATCGTGAGTTTTGGATAGACATGTACTCCACTCATGACCATAAAGCACCTGTTTTGCTACCTCCAGATGGGAAAGATTGTCTTTACATCGAAGCACAATTGTTGAACTCAACCATCGCAGTATTGTAAATGACCTCATGGGCTTCGTCCTTGCCGCTAGCGGCTTATTTTTATCACGAATGACCTCATTGCTGACAAAAATAAATGACCTCAGAACTTTAACTTACGAATAAAGCTTGTTTTAGTCGTTATTGAGAAGTTAAACTTCTCTTCAAAGCAAGGTTGACATGACTTACATAAGTCAAATGCAATCTCTTGACCGTCATGAAGTGCTTTGTAAAGTTTCATAACACTGAACTCAGAGTCTTTGTCAAATTTTCCTTACGGAACCATTAAACATTTATCTTCATCATAGAAACACTGAACAGAGTCAGGAAACATTTCATTAGCGGTTAAATCAATAACATCTTGCTTCACGCCTTTCATTCTGCAGTGAAATGCAACTTCATTTAAATCGTTAGTGAGTAAGTCTATGTAGGTCTTCTTTCCACAGAAAATACTTTTATAAGCTAAACTTTGTTTATCTTTTGTGATTTCTGCAAAGTCGCTATGAAATTGACCAAGGTTCTTTCCTATAAGTTCGCGACCATATCTCTTCTGAAATTCCTGCGCTAAACGCGGGATGTCTTCATTGAAAATATGCATGCTGTCGGTATCCTGATAGGCTATATACAAGCCCATGTCCTCAGTAGTACAGAATACTTCATTCATAATACGTTTTGACATAGACAGAATATTAACACCAAGTGGACAGAAGTTAAAGTGTCTGCAAATGCTTTTCGTTAGCTTGAAAATAGTTTTATCCGAACCATCCAAACCTTCGAACTTCACTATATGGTTGTAATTTCTTATAGCATATCTTATAGCATCTTTGTCATCTACTATGGTTATTTTTGACTCAATAGGAGATAGAATAGTTTTGCCATAAATGCTGCTCAGAATGAGTTTTATAATTTCTTGTAAGGGGTTTTCTTCTTTCTTATACTTTAACCTTAACTCAAACAACTTCTTTACTTCATCTCTTATTCTCAAATCTCTGTTTCCATCGTAATAGTATCCTTGCAACACTTCACATTTGACACCTTGATATTTTATGAGGTCTTGTAATGTTATATGGTCAACATACATGAGACAGCAAGTGTTTGAACTTCTTGGAACGTTAAGTTCTGGATTTAGTTCAGGGTCGCAAACTATTAAAGGAAAGTGTCTGGGTATACCAATCTCTGTTATCTTAATGAGAACAAAGAAGCCTGACATAAACTTTTCACCAATGGGTTCCTTTTGGTCGTCATCGAATAAATGCTTTAACAAATATTCAGAACTTAACATCTCATCCTTCAATACTTTTGGAATTCCTTCTAAAGTATAAAGTCTTGCAATTGCTGATGGATATAATGAAACAGCGTCGAAGTCAGCAATGAGTTTCTTTTTGCTCTTTTGTTTAATGTTATCTGACAACATACATCTTCCACCTTGAATGCATCTCGAAATAAACTCTCTTGGTTTATTTGAGAGGTCATAAAGATTTCCATTCGGGAAGTATACTCTGTTCTCAAATAATTTGTTAGCAATAGAACAAATACTAACGTAGTCATAAACGTTTAAATCAAACTCTTTCAATAAGTCATTGCGGAACTTTACAAAACCTTCTCTTAAAATTCTTACATCTTGTTTGCAGTAAATCGTGCTATATTTTTCTAAGTCGAAGTGGTTTTCATCTATTCTGCAACCTTTGATGGAATCTATGTTCTTCATGAATGTATCTGCATCCTGGATAAACTTACATGCTTCAGAAATGACACCAGTTCTGTTGTCATTTGCTAACAAAGTACTGCTGTAGTAGTTGTATGGAAATACTTCTTTCGGTCCTGTTTGTAAGTTAAACATAGCAGGAAATAGTTTAAGTTTCTTATTTATAACACTGTAAGAGTCTTTTATAATAATTGCCCGTCCTTTATATAAGCCAGTTATTTGCATTGTTCGTGAACCTTTAATGATGGGAGTTCCTTTCACTTCTGTCATGTGTCTTAAGATGAAGTTTATGTCATAACTGAGGTTATGGAAATATATTAAACTCTTTTCAGGAAGTCGTTCCAAAAATTCTGTTGCACAATTCTGACCCCATATGCTTTGACTCACTGAACCATTTTCACTGTCGTAACAGATGTTAAAAGCTTTATGAAAGCCGTCTGTGCTACACTCAAAGTCAGCAAAGAAAACGTGCTCAGGAATGAATTTACATTTAGCTTTATTTACTTCTTTTGACTCTGCTTTCTTCTTCAGTTGTACACAATACTTTGGAGCATACGTCAAATCTTTAAATGGTGCAAGGTTCTGTTTATATAAGTCAGTCGTATATGTGAAAAGTTCTCCATAAGAAATAGGTTCAAAATATTTGCACTCCCACAATGTTTTCATAACATCCCATAACGGTGTTGTTCTATCATAACGAACTACATATTTATCTTCTCTCTTTGTATAAATCTTCATCTGTTTCTCAATGTTCATTCCACCACAAGCTTTGAGAATTTCTTTATAGTTTCGAATGAAGTATGTTGTCATTGGAAGTCTTTCATTTAGCATGTAGTGGTCTTCAACAAGAAGTAAGTCAATAGTTCTAACAGTTTCACATTCTTTTGGTATATATCTCTTTATTTCATTATGTCTTGAGTCATTGAAATAACCAATGGTAACATTGAATGCTATACCAGTTGCGTCAGAAATTTCCTGAATCTTACTTTGTGGAAAGTCTTTAACACGAATGACTTCTCTCATGTGGTCAATAGTTTCTTCATTTACTCCAGCCTGAATGCAAGCATAAACGAAGCAGTTATCTTCTGTCATAAGTGCTGCAGTTCTTTTGTTCAGTTCATTGAAGATTTGTTAGCGCTCAAGATTTATAGGTAACGTGCAAAGATACTTCCAGAACTGACCGCTTCTCTTCTTATAAAACTTCTTTTTAGCATTATCTTTCCAAAAGCTTTCTATAAGTGCTGGGTTTCCTGTTTGCTTAAGAGCTTCCAAAATGGCTTTCTGGTCATTTGTCAGTGTGCTTTCATCTCTATATGGTCTCTTTTTTGGTTTGCCTTTCTTTACATCTGACATCGTTAAGCCTTCATATTCTGTTAAATCATACATCTTTATTTCGGTAAGATTCTTTATGTTTGTCAAGAAGAAGTCATAGTTCATTTCAACAATACCTGCAGCATTTGCTTCTATCTCTGATATAAAGTTCTCCTTCAAGAGCTGATGTAGTAATGTTCCAATATTATTGAGGTTTAACGTAGAACATTCATACTTTCCACCAGTTTATAACATACCATCCATCTCTGTTGTGAGTTTATTTTAATTTTCTCTAAGAGTCTCATGAAAACCTTACCGAAATGTTTGTGTAAGTCTCTGTTTGGTTCATCTTAAAGCTTCGATGTTAAAGTCAATGAGTCTATTGCCTGACTTCACATTCCTCTTCCTATTCTCTTCATCTTTCTTTAACCATCTCTCACCTTCTTTGGTTTGTCGTCAATGGAACGAATGACATCATTAGCTTTGCGAACTTGTTCTATAGCACTTTTAAACATCTCTCTTCTCTGTTGTTTCAGTGTGTCGTCTCTTCTTCTTGTTTCACCAACGTTTGCATTTGTTATGTCAAACATTTCTCTTCTTACTTCATGTGGTACAGCTCTTCTTGTTTCACCAACGTTTGAGTTCGTAAGTTCAAACATCTCTTGACGAACATCATGTGAAAGAGCTTTACGAGTATGACCAACGTTTGCATTTGTTATGTCAAACATTTCACGCCTTACTTCATGAGGTACTGAACGTCTATGATATAAGTCAATAGCAACGCATTTAAAGGAAATGTTCTTGCATGACTTCGTCCTCGCCGCGTTGCGGCTTTATGAACTCATGAATTCTATCATAAGTTATTTCACCATTGTAGTCTTTAATGAAGTCAGCGAGTGATTTTTTGTTTGTCGCGTAATGTTTTGCAACATCTATGTTAGCTTCTGTAAGAAGTTGTTTTATTTCCGAGTGTTCTAACTTAGACAACTTCCGATACATCTTTAGTAGGAAATAAAAAAAATATTTTTTGAAAAAATTAGATTAAATTTTTTTTAAGTTATTTTTCAAAATAATTTAATATTTTTATTTTAATGAAACACATGCAAGATTGCAAGTTCTTTTCATACAATGCTCTCGCTAATGCCATCAAGAATGAGTTCAGTAATGCTTCAAACGTCAATGTTATCTTTAACAAGAAGTTTGTGAAAGAATCTAAGTTCGGTCAGTATGCCAGACCATTAGCTATTGTCATTGACCGCAAACGTTATACTTCACAAGAGTTAGCAGTAGTTTTGAAACAAAAGGGTTTCTTCGTGAATGTCAAAGATACTCATTATACTGTTATAAAGAACTCCAACGTTGACTTCTTCAGTATTGCTATGAATCTTTCCGAACAGAAAGAATATAAGAAAGGTGAAACATCTGTGAAATATTATCCTTCATCTCTGAAGACAATAACGAACAAAGATGTTATACAAAAGTTCTTACCAAAGGTTGACGAAGCTTCAATTGACATTGACGAAGGAAGTGAAATGGTTGAAGAAATTGACCCTGACGTCATTTAAGCAAAAATATATTTTTGAATAAAATTCCAAACAGTCAGTCAGTCAGTCGTCATTAACTGACTGTAAAAAATAATTTCAAAGCATTGAACAAAAAAATTATTTTTGTTCATTCTTCCTCTTTGAAGTTGTCGAAATATTCTGTTATCTTTTCTTTCAGTAATGTTAAGTCTTCTTTGAATGTAAGTATTGTGCAACCTCTAATATCATAATGTGTTTGAGGAAGTGTGTCTTGAACTATCTGTTTAACATCTTCATTAGGTGTCATTGAAATCGGTAAGTTTTCACGATAGAACCAGTTTCTGTCAGATTTATATATTTTAGCGAGGTCATAAAAGCTCTTGTTGTTTCTTCTCACTAAATGCAACATAACCATATCTTTATCTTCGTCTTTCTCCAACTCTTCAGTATATATCATATACTTATAACTCTTTTCCTTTCCTTTTGGTACTGAACGTGGTATTCTTTTCTGTATGCTTTTGTCTTTGGATTCAATGACTTCATCTTTTGCTTGAAGTTTCATTTCCATATCTTCACGTTCTGCTTTATATAGTTCATCTAACATCATGAAAATATAACAAGCATAACGAGGTGAAGCCCACATTGCTACAGCATTTACTAAAAGTCTATGAATATAATAACCTTTCAAACCAGGAGCCAAATTCTTGCGATTTTCGTACGGAATCTCTTCTCTCGGTTTTCCGAGGGAAGCAATCATATGAGGAAATTCTTCTAAAAGTTCTTTTGTCTGTTGGTTTTCAAACCAATGATATGCTTGCTTTGTAGAACGAAGAGCATTCATTATACTCTGCACCTGGTACATATCATCTTTGACAGAACGAATGAGTCTCAATTGTTTGTTATACTGTATGTACTCGTATTCTTCATTTATGGCTTCATGAACGATAGCAATTGTTGTGTTCTCTAATGTTGTCATTACTGTCTTTACATACAAAATAAAAAAATAAATAAAAATAAAACTAACGTTATTTTTAAAATTTGTGAAAACTCAACGGTTTGACACGTGCCATATGTCATTTTACTCAGAATTTTGTGCTGAATTCAGCAAAAATATATTTTTAGGTGAAGAGGTGAAATTTCACCTAATTTTTCACCTCTTTTTTCACAAGCGTTTTACATGAATTGTACGATGTATATTTGAAATCCTAAACAGTTTTGTAGCTTCTATTTCTTCGCTGAGGATATCAAAATTTTTACCAACGCCGAAAGTCTCTTTATATTTCTTCTTGACGTCAGACAGAAGGAAATCTTCTGCTGTTGGATAGTTTTTATTAAGAAATGCCAACATATCCATTTTATCTTCTGCTGGCTTTTCTGCTTCTTTCTTTAAGTCTGCATAGTCGTTTCGCATTCTTTCTATCTCTTTGACTGAGTAGTTATATTTTCTTATTGCTGCCTTACATTTTGAACATTGCGGATTCATTTTTGCGTTATACATTGAAACCTTACCAGCTAAAATAACTAAGGCGTCAATGGTTTTCTTTAACTCAAAAGTTGTTGGTTTTATTTGTCCATTCCATATTTTACATCTTTTATCTTTATTTCTTATCTGCCATACACATTCAGCAACTAACGAAACAAAGTTGTCGTAGGTCTTAAATTCTTCAGATTTATATATGTCAGAAACATTCTTATATACCATATCGCAATCTTTGTCCATAACCTTATGGTTGCAATGAAAACCGAGGAATTCATAATTTACTTTACGTATGAACTTCTTTATTTCTACTGAGTCGGTTGTTTTTACTTCTATTTCATCGAATTCAGGAATAGTGAGCTTTTGTTGTTGGATTTCAGGCAATTTAGGCAAATGGTCGATGAGGTCCTGCATTTCATAAAGATATTGTTCATTTGTTTCATCTTTCGCACTACAGTCTAAATTACTTGTTAAAAGTTCTTGCTTTATCTTCTGGATTTCTGTTTCAAAAGTATATGAAGAAGGAATAAAGCCTTTCATCTCTACCAACATTGACGTAGGATTCATGACTAATGAATTTGGTGCTGTAGTTGTGGACAGAGTCCCGCCGTTCGCGGCTTGAATTGTTGTTGTGCCGATTGTTGAAATCATATCTTTTATACAAAATAAAAAATAAATAAAAATAAAACTAACTTTATTTTTTTCTATCTTAAGGAAATTCATGAAAATTCACGAGATCCCACGGATCATCTCGCCACTTAGCGGCTGAGGGTGAAAAACCGGGTGAAAAATTAGGTGAAATTTCACCTCTTCACCTAAAAATCATTTTTGACGTAAATTTACAGTATTTATGAAAACATTAATATATAAAATTCATGGCACCATTAATGATATCATGACTGTTCTCGTTCATGTCTGATTTACATCTAATGAAAAAGTTTAAATGAATTTTCTTATTCTTTCTGGCATATTTTTATCTTTCCAGTACTCCCGCTCTAATGGACCCAGATGAGTTGGCTTTGACTCTCTCAAGTTCTTAGATGGTATAACATCTTCAACGCTTCCTTCATATCTTACTTTATAAGTGTCATCGTTTATGTTGTAGCCAAGTATTTCAATAACCACTCCTCGCTTTGCTTCGTCAATGGTTTCAGCAAGTTTGCCATTACTACTTTCGACTAATTTATGACGAGGATAAAATGCTATGGAGTCGTCAGCAGCTTTTATAAGATATCCATTACCTTGCGTAGAGTCTACGATATAATAATTTCGATTTAACCTTAAACGTTTCTTTGTCAATGGTTTGTCGTCAAGAACTACACGAACTTTTGTACCAGGAATGAGGGTAAATTGTGTTGAATTTCTGATATTTTGTGTTTGGCTTCGTTTCTTTTGTATATACTTTTCTTCTTGTTGTTGTGTCATTGAATTTGGTGTATGTCCTGTTGTAGAATGTGTTGAGGAATTATATACTTCGAGAAAGTGTTTCATTGTTTCTTCGGTAAAGTCTCGCTCTTGGTTTAAATCTCTGAGCGTTCTTATGAAGCGGTTAATGATACCGAGTATGTTATGGTTATGGTCTTCAGTAGTGTAGTGAGTTATGTTATGCTTAATGAGAAATTCTGTGATTTCATTGCTGAGGTATGCACCGTCTTGGTCTGATGTTAAAGTACTTGGGTTATGTTCTGCTACAAACTTTTGTAAAACTCTTAACACTTCACGAGTTCCTTTGTTCCTCATTGGATATGCATATGCTTTACGAGTGTTAACATTTATGAAGATGAGGAATGGTTTATGTCCTCCTTTTCTGCTTTGAATGAGAGTGTCATATTGGTATGCGTCTGGAGTGTTGGAGTAAATTGGTAAAAAGTAGTCGTAAGGATTTATTTTTGTTTGATGTACAACATTTTTGTCATAGAACCTTTTCACTTCAGCTCTGTTAGTAAATCCCCAACTTTTTGCAGCTTCATTGAATTTCTTAAATGATTTCCATGGATGTTGTTCGAATACTTCTTTCAAACTCATTTAAGTAAAAATAAAGATTTCATTGAACGCGGTAAGTCTAGACACTTTGAGTCAAGGCTCAAGCGCGTTCATTGAACGCGGTACCATGCGAATACAGTCATAACTGGTGGCATATAATCTGCACCACTTCCTGTTGGATTTGTTGTGAAAGTGTGTGAATGATTTCCTCCTGGTTCAGTTGGTCGAAAAGTCTTTTTTGCTGAATTGTTATAAGATGGAGATAAAACGTCATTGCCAGCTTCATAGTCTGAGTTGTATAATGGGTGGTCTCTTAATGAGTGGCTATGATCGCCAGAAAAGTTTGTAGTTCCTGTGTGCTTATGTGGTGGAAGATTTGCTTCTAAAATTTTCTTTGAACCTCCTGTTTGCTTTGAAGAGTTAGCACAATAGAGGAATTTATCTACAATCTGTTGCCATGTACCAAAACCTAAAACACTTGCCGGAGTTGTTGAGTTCATTGACGTATAAATAGAGCCTATAGGATATATGGTTTCAAGAATCTGAGTCTTCATTGTTTGAAGTTCATGTTTAACATTTATAAATCCATCGCCGTCTACAATATTTATATTGTTTGTTATTAAACCATTAGGAAAAGTAGGAGGATAAATATTTTGTTCAACCAAAGGTGTACTGTCTCTTCCTGTTTTTGTTACTTCTTCAATGTATGCATTAATTTCTTTAATCCTGATTGTTTGAAATTCTTCATGCACATGCTCTTTATCAGCTTTTCCATTAATTTTATCATTTACTTCCGACTTCTTTGCATAATTTTCATCTACCCATTCCTTTGCTTCTTCTGTATAACTCATTGCTTTTGTATCATAACGATTTAATTCTTCATCTACATATATTTTGTCGGTTTTATTGGCTAAATCAACAACCATATCTCTTAGGTTAGTGTGCATATCTTCATCACGCATGCTTGATGAAGCAATAGCCCAATTCAATATTATCTCATCAGCTCTAATAGTTGTGAAGAATTCATGTGTATGATTTTTGTCTGCTTTCTTATCTAACATTGCTGGTAGTTCATGTGTTTCAAAGTTTCTGACATGTCCTTCAATATTAGTGCATTTGTTATCTAAATTGTTAAGAGTATCTTTTACGCTTGTACTTGGATTCTCTAAAGGTGCACTTGAACCAAGGGTATAGTTCAATATTATGTCGTCTGCTCTAACAGTAGTGAAGGATTCATGTGTATGATTTTTGTCTGCTTTACTGTCTAAAGAAGTTTGAAGTTCCTTTATATCGGAGATATTGTGTTTATGAGATTTCAAAACTTTGTTCATTGCGTCAAGTTCATTTTTGTCAGCTTTACTTTTAATAGCATCTTCAAAAGTTATTTTTGCCTTAACTCTCAAAGTAAATCTTGGTTCAACTAATACACCGTTAACAAAGAAACTAGAGGCATAAATTTCAGCGTTATAACCAAATGCTTCTGGTGCTATACCTGTGTCATACTGTACAGTACAGTGTATGTCATAACCTTTAGCACGAATGAATTTATATCTTCTTTCATTAACATCTTTCGTCTTCACTTTTCATCCTGTGTTAAATATCCGTGGTAGTCCGTTATAATCTGTTCATCTGAACTTATATAATGAACATGGTCTTTGTCCGCTTTTTGTGAAAGAAGTTCAACAACTTTTGCTTCACTTATGTCACCAGTGCCACTTTCATTTATTTTTGTCAGCATTGCGTTCAAAACTTCATAAAGACTAACTACTTCTTTTGGTTCTTGAAACAATGAGGCAAAAGTCTTTCTTAACATTACATCTTCAACTGTTATGACTGAGTCAATACCTTTCTCTTTTATTGTCTTAGCTAACTGACCTAAAACAATGAACATATAGTCTAAAATATTATCTTCAGTGTTAAACGCTATACTGTTTTCACGAATTGTTGTGTTTGTTGCTGTTAAAACTTCTTCAAACTCAGGATATATATTCAGTAGATTTTCAACAATTGTTTGAACCACTTGTCCTCCTTCTCCTTCTTCATCTAAATCTCTTGCTGCCATTAAAGGATGTAAATTAATTGGTTCAATAATTCCGAGACGAGGGTTGTAAGCAAGTCCGTCGAACATACTTTACGTTTGAGTGCCCAGTTAGTTAGTTTCTTTGTATTATTTGCTACTTTACCCCATAAATTTTTGAGACCGTCAAAGAAACTTCCTGTATTTCCATGCAATTTAGCAAACTCAACATAAAACTTCATGCTATCTATGCCACCAAGAAAAGTCCAAAGTGCGTCTATCTCACTTTGCATGGTTATAAGAGATGCAGTTGTTGCACCTGCTGAAAATAAATCAAACAACCACCCTAACCAACTCTTACCTCCTCCACTTTGTTCTATTTTCACAAAATCACTGATATGACTTTTTAAGTATTCTTTCGTAAGTAATGTGTCTCCAGATGTAACGCCTCTAACGATATTATCTCCGTCAAAAGTCAGTGTTCTAACTTGTGTCCGTGCAGCGTTTATTTTAAGACATGCATAGTCTGGTGTTTGAGGAGCAGTAGGCTCGATGTATGTAATTTTAAAGAAATCGTCATAATTTTTCTTAAAGGTTTCATATGTTGTTTTGAATGTATTGAACCTCATTATTATATCAAGAAGTTTTGTCAATGAGTCAGCAATTGATTCATCTACTGTTGACGTTTTGAGTTTTATTTCTGCTGAGTCGTTTATGAATGGTACTTGACATTGAGTTGTATATGGGTCAAATCCTGTAGGACCCAAATGAAGCAAGTAGTCTAAAATATCACGAACAGACTTTGAGACAGTTGTGTTATCTTTCATGACGATTTCACCATTTTCAATGAATGGCATAGTGCATGAAGTTAAAATTGGGTCAAACTTTTCATAGTCCTTCCATGTTATATATTTCTCAGTATTTCCATCAGAAATAACAATATATTTGTCAGTAAGTGTGAGAGAGTATTGACCAAAATATAAACGTTTAGCTTTGTCAGCTTCATACGCATATGCAGCTATACTCATATTTTAATGAGAATAAAATGTTGTTCTATTTGCAAAGTACAGACCCGAACGAATACGGGACAGTAAAACTACAAACAAACTTAGGTCTACAGAATGAGGCACTTGCATTCAGAATGGTTGACTTTAATACTATTGCTTCATTCGTTATAACTGACGAAACAGATTTCATGGAGCTTGAAATAGATGGAAAGAAGCACGAAATAAGATTTCACAATAATGTAGAATATAAGATGGAAACATTAGCTGGAGTGTTAAATGCTCTCATAAATACTACAATAAACAAGGATAACGGAGAAAACTTAATGAATGTTAAACTTATTGCAGGAGTTTTGAAGTTCAGTTATGTGAAGGAGTTTAAGATAACACGAATGAGTCATAGAGTTCAATTGATTCTGGGAGCATACCATATGACATTTCCTTTGAAAAGTGTTGACAAAACGATTGAGATGAAATCTGTTCCATACGTATGTTATGGCAATTGTTTGTACATTGAGTCAAAAATAGCTAATGTCACAGGTATTTCAGGAGTTAATAGTAAAGGTTCAGTAGAATATAAGTCTTTCTGTTATGAAGTAAATTCAATGTTCATTCCAAACGTTCCTGTCATAGCAACTCATTTAGGTAAATGGGTTCGCATTAGTCCTCATAATTTGAAAGACATGCAATTCAGACTAGTTGACTTTCAAGGCGAGCCCGTAGTACTGAAGGCACCAGTGCGAATGACTGTTGAAGTTGACTTTTTAGAAAATATTAAATGCAACGGCTTACAAGAGAACTCAGAGCTAAAAATATAAAGTATGAATGTTATGTATTAGGTCATGAACTTTGGTTGTTGCTGTTTGATGAAACAAATGAGTTAGTTAAGTCAGTCAAGAGAACAGAAAAAGGCGTCAAAGGCGCCGAGAGCAAAGCGCTATATTGTGTTAGTGAGAACTGCACCAAGTCAATAAGATTAGGTTTGCATTATGAAGATGAGTTCAATAGTGTTGAAGAAGTTTTGGATAGATATTACAAATTGCTAACTTGAATTTTTTTTGACTAACTGACTGCTTTAATTTACTAAAACATATTTCAAACAAAGCTTATAGTAAGTAGATAGTTTTGTATACTCGTTCGAATATCTATACTTAAACTCAACTCCTAGAGTACCTGGTATTTCAATGATGCGGATGTTACCTATTTTCATGAATATTGGCGTTTGACCACAGCATTCGATTTCAGGGTCGAGATAGTCAATGACACATTGCTTTCCTGTTATTCGTGATATAATATTTTCAAGGTCCTCCTTTGTTAGAATTATTTGGTTCTTACTTATAAGATTTGTCAAAAGCTTCTTATCGTCTTTGAGTAAGATAGTTTGATATAACTGAAGAAGGTAATGGTCTACGTTATCTGAAGGATTTGTTTGAACATTTGTGTAAGGATTGTCGTTGGCTTCTCTTGAAAGAATTTGGTCCAGTGGTGGATACTCTAACTTAACATCTGATGTAGCGTTAGCGTTTGAAGCTGAGTTTAAATTCACCGACTTAAGTTCTGGTTCTTTTTCTTTCAAACACTCTGAACTATAGTTCTTTATGACAATATTGTTTGTCGTTCGTGAGTCAACATTTGATGTTGGTTCAATTGGAACATTAACGGCACCAGCTAAGATGGATTTGCTTCTCATTTCATATAGAATAAAAACCTTTTATATGTATGAAATGAACAATATACTCGACAAGGGTTTGAATGTAAAGCTAACGAATGAAAATATTGTTGAATTCACTGAGACAGGTGCTGTGTATAAAGATGTAGAACTACTGAACAAAAGAGCTAAGGGAAGAAGCAGGAACATGAACAAAGGGTGGAACCTATAAAAATTTATGTCAATGATGGCTCAGGAGGTTCAAACATAAAGTATGCAGAAAGTTATAGAGTTTATGCTCTCAAAGGTGAAAAGCCTTCATTTAAGAACAGCTATTCTAACGCATATCCTCAAAAGCTAACGGATGGGGAAGTGGATGATATGAATGACAGCAAAAATATTAACAGAAATGGCGACAGAGATGCATGGAATTTGTTTACCATCAGTCAATTGAAGTTAAACTTTAAAACAATGTTGGTCGTTCCCATGGAATATTTTGACTTTAATGGTATTAGTCATGATATGAATCTCAAGGTATGAACGAGGAGAGATGAGAGACTTATATGCTTCCCAAATTTCTTCAAAAGGTAATGTTATACCTGACTGTTTCCAAATGAGTTCAATATCATAACGTGAGAAACCTTGAAAGATAACGAAGTCAGTTATGAGACGTTTTATGTTTAAAGCAAGAAAACGCCATGTTTGCATAAGTATTGCTACAGTTAAGTGTAATGTCTGACTTTAGTAATGATGTTAGCTAATGGCGAGTCAGGCTTTGACACTAAACCTTTTCCGGCGAAGTCGTCACAAACGAGCAGAGTGTTTGAAGGATACTTTTTGAAGGGGTATTTTGAAAGTTTTGACAGAATGTAGTTTGTAAGTCGTTTCATATCGTAAACTCCTGAGTACTGACGTAAGTGGTGTTTGTCAATAATTCTTTCCATCTCCTCAGAGGTCTTTTGCATTCCTGACTGTATGAACTCTACGATGGCATAATATTTTCTCTTACGTCGAATGTAACGTTGAAGAAATTCAATGAGTTCACTGTCTGGAACTTTAACGACAGATGCTTGAACTTTACTCATGAATGTTTTCGCTGTTGAGTCCATAGAGTCTGAAGTTGCTGATATAATGATTTGGTCATAATATGAATCTTGACCTAAACGCTCTGTTATGAGTATATGACGAATGAGGTTAAATGTCTTTCCTGACCCCATCTTTCCACAATAGAAATACACACCATTTGAACAGAATTCATAATCTTTGCTGAAAGGAAGAATAAGAGAAGAGTTAAGTTTGTCTGTAGTTTCATTCATGTCTTCATCTACGTCATGTATTAAATGCTTCATTTTATCTCCATTAAAAATGCAAGTCAGAAATATTCAGAACATAGCACCGAGTCTAACTGACAAGAGTATAAAGATATACTATGAACACGTTATGATGAAACCAACCAAAATTCAAGAAAGTCAGTATACTTATGAATATCCAAGACACTGGGTAGAGTATGTAGGAGGTGAGAAAGCTATTGAAATCAGACAGGTTCGAAGTATTCCAGCAGGAAGAACAATATTATTGAAGAACTTTAATGTTTTGAGATATAATGATGAAACAAAGAAGCAAGATAGTTTCCCTGTTGCTGTGTTTGTGAACCTAGACACAGGAGATGACATGAAAGTTTTTAACACAAAGCTTCAAACGGTATTGAAAGAACAACTTATAGCAGAAGGACACCCATTACCTTCAGAAGTTACCATAGCATATAATTTTGAAACAAATGCAATAGATTTTAAAGTCGTCTCTGCAAAGAAGTCAGGTTTTACATTTAATGAAGCAGATGTATATTCGAATGAAAACTTCAAAGCTATTGCATGGTTAGATAATGACGATTGCTTTAAGAAAATATTTAAATTCAGTGACTCAAAGATGTCAATAGATGACCTTCGTGGAATGTTACCATCGACGTTTACAGTTGAAGGTTCAGCAGGATTGCTTACAAGTTTTTCAATTGGTGGCGTTTGGTCTCGTGAGAACATTGTTATAAAATCCAGTATAAGTGAATTTGCTGAAGAATCTATATTATGTCTTTCAAACTACATGTATTCGCCACCGAAGCATTATAGTATAACAAACTTTGTCAGTAAGTTTAACATAAGACTTGTTGAACCTTCTTCAATGAAAGATGTTGTGCTACCTAAAGATGGAAATGATGGACTCATTATTGAAATGATTTTAATTGCATATTAAATGAGCTTGTTCATGAAAGTCATTCATGATGAAATAACTGTTGTAGAAGATGTTAGCAATTGTTCAGACATTTTGAAGCGTATAGATGATATAAGAAAGAAGTTAGATAGACCGCAAAGCGGTGAGGGCGAAGCCCGTGAGAATGTTTATGTTTCATTGACTTTCTCCAGTAACGAGAACTTTTATGAGATAATATTGAAGAGAGATGATTTTAATATGGTGTAAATGGTAGCTTGGGCAGCTTTAGGCGCAATGGGAACAAAAGCATTAGCATTTGGAGCAAAAGCACTTGGAGCTTATGACGCAGTAAATAAAATGAGTGGAGGAAGAGTTTCAAAGACATTAGACGCAAATAAAGGAAAGATTGGGGGCTGGGTTGCAAAGAAGTTAAGATTAAATAAAATAGGGCTCATAAATAAAGCATCCAATTTGGTTGCGACTGAGTCGGAAAATGCTTTAGGAAAGGACGATGAGTTTTCAAAACACGCAAAAGACTTTAATGACCAGATGAAAGGTGAAACAATACATTTAAATAGAGTCGATGGAACTAAAGAAAATGTTTCTTCTCCACAACTTCCACCAGTAGTTCTTCCGTATGGTCCCTATGGAATGTATGGAAACCCTTACGAAAGACCATTTGACCCATTGACTGGTGGAAGTAATTGGTATCATTATGGACGAAGAAGAAAGACAGTCAAGTTGGAGACGGACGTAAAGAAAGCAACTAAAAAGAAACCAAGGAAGAGAGTTATAAAGCAATGAATTCAACGGGGTGAAAAACCGGGTGAAAAAAGAGGTGAGATTTCACCGCTTCACCTAAATTTATTTTTTCACCTCTGACAACGTTTATTTTTAAGTTTATTTTTTATTGTGGGTGAAAAACCGGGTGAAAAAAGAGGTGAGATTTCACCGCTTCACCTAAATTTATTTTTGTGCTATGTTTTCATACGCGTGAAGGTAGTGATATCATTTATTTTTAAGTTTATTTTTAAGTTTATTTTTATGTAAATGACGAAAACTATTGAGATAACAAACTACAACGGTCATGAGTTCAAGAACTTGTTCTTCGTTCCTCGTGAAAATACATTCTATCAGATACGAGGGAGAAAGGGTAAAGTTAGTTTGAGCGTTTATGACTACAAACATAATGGAAAGTTTATACAAGCAATAGATACAAACGGTAAGCGTGTTTCATTAGCTTTGTCAAAACTTACTAACATTTATTTTGACAGTGACTTTGACCTATATGAAGAAGAAAGTGAGTCAGAAGATTATGAGCTGTTATGTGAAGCACAGCAATGGGAGGAGTTGCAATACTTTTGTAAGTGAGAACGTTTATTTTTACATTAGTGAGGTGAAGTGGTTGGCGGTTTTGTAAATATTTAAGGTTAAATTGGTGTTGTCGTTTATGTTGTAAAATATACGTTAAGGGTTTTGTAAAGTGTCAAATTCACATATAATGGGTAAGAAGGCGCGCAGTGCCTCCGTACCCTTGATAGGGATACTAACTTCGATTGTAGAATTTTCTTAATAAACCAAGTAGAAATGTTTTCATGATGCAAAACAATTTATCAGCATATGTTAATATATGTTTATTTGAATAGGATAGACAGCGCATCATTATTTACTTGATATAAACATATAATATCATATGCTAGATAGCATTGTATCATGCAAATCTTTCTATCGCAGTTTCTATGTTTAAATTTTTTAAAGGGTAAAATCATATAGAATTGGGTAAATTTCAATGGTGTCTGCCCTATCGTCTATTTTGTGGGTGTCTTTTGAAACCGCAAGACTCTTTCAATTTTTGAATAGTGTCATACGGTTTGTTCAGACACCATTGAAAAAATAATTATCTTTTATTTTAAGTATATAGATTGTTTATGTATTATACTAGATGTTTGCCGTTTTACTTTTCGATTTTAAATAGAATTTTTGTGCGAAAAATTAACAAAATAAATTCAAAATCGAAAAAATCAAACTCAAGACACTATGATGACACAATGCTATTCCTTAAAGACACCTATCGTCACGCAAATGACAAGCATAGTTTCTTGTGAATGGGTTGCATTTCTTTTCTTGAATAACCTTTATCCAAGTATTATAATCAATAACGTAACTATCTTTAGAAATTGCAGGGACGCACATCGGTTTATATGTTATTGGGTCAATAAATCCAGGCATAGGATTGAGCATGCTGTTTTTATCATATTGTGACAATGTTTTACCAACATTAAAAATGTGTTGGCCTTTTATAAAACTCAATGATGTAATTTTACTTACATTTTGTTTAGTAACGGAATCTAGTTGCAATGATGTAGTTCTTTTCATTTTTTTGCCGGATGATTTTCTGCTCGATAAGATTTGCATAAAGAGCTTGGCATGATTTTTCTGTCTGGTTTGAGAAGTATTCTGATATTGATGTCCAGTCAATGAAGTCAGGATTTTCATATTGACTTATTAACGTTAAAAAATATCTAATATCAGATTCAGACCATCCATTCTTTTCTTCAAGAGATGTTATCTGTAATTCGGATAGATTTAGCTTTGCTTGCTCTTTATTAATTTTTGTTATGGATATTCTTCTATATATCTCATTATTTAGATTTTCAATGAAGCTCTCACTTATTAAATTTTCTTTCATCTCTTCAATATCATAATTAGATAATTCAAAAGCAATGTATAGCTTTTTTGGAGAAAAATTCTTTAGGTAATTAGGATTTTCGGTCAGGAATTGATTAATTCGTTTGATTCGTGATGAAACCAGCTGTTTATTTCTAGAAATTACAAAATTATAGTTTCAATATCAGATACACTGATACAGCTGATTTCTTCATTACATTTTTCATCGGCTGCATCATACTCAGAATAATTATGTGCGGTTGACGAACATGTTTCTGAGTCAGGATCTTGCATTTTTATCGGCGTGAAGGGTTGTTAATTTCAAATTTTGTAAACCATAATTTTTGACCATTGTCTACACTCTTCCCTTAAGACTTTACATGAGCTCCATAACTCCCACTACTACGAAAGGGATCCATGGAGCTCCTGAAGCCCTATCAACAGAGCCCTTTCCATTTGAGCCTCTGATGATCAGAAGAAGATGGCAGCCATTCTGTCTCTTTAGGTGCTCCATAGCTCCCAATCCTTACGAAATGGAGCTATGGAGTTCCTCTATTCCGACTTCCAGATGCAACTATCTCCAATTCCTTTTACTGATTCAAAAACAATCAATAGAAAATTGTAGATAGTTGCATCTGTTAAAATTCTTTGGAGTATTTCCTCTTGGAGGCCTCGGGCCCTGGTACATTACACCAGGCCCCCAAGTTTCTTAGAAGGAATCACTCATCAGTTTTTTCCTCACCATGCACTTTTCAAATTTTCAAATGAGGAAAATAAATGGAATCAACAGGTATTGGGCATGAATATTAAATAGATTCGATGTGGTGTTTAAGGGTGCACCCGTATGTACGTTTATTTGAGAGGAGGAGGATTACCCTCTCAATTTTGAGGAATTCGTTAGTTTATTTTCTCGATGAATATGCAATAAAATTTGATTTTTACCTTATCAATATACTTCATATAATATACACATGTTCATGTAAAAACTTTTTCCCAAAATCCTCAGGAATTAAGGGATTTTTGAATTTTAAGAATTTTTTTCGAATTTTTTCGAAAAAAAATATTTTCAGAACAGCCTTAACGGCTAATATTTAGGAACAATGTTAAGTATCAAAAAGAAAGGAGGTCTGATATAGACAACTATGGCATTCCAAACGGGAACCGCGGTTGGTTACCATGGATTTCCGTCACCGGTCACATTTTAAAGATTTTTAAAGCCTTATAAAAATATGCTTTGTAAATCATTTTTTGTAAATCGGCAAAAATTTGGTAATTTTCTTCAACTAATAAATCTGCGAATAGCATTTATAATACAAGAACAATCTTTTAAAATGCGTTTGATTCATTTTTGTATAATTTCATATAGGCACATATATTCTGAGTAGGGGTAATTTTAGCTAAAAGTGACACGCCTGTAAAACGTGACACGCCCGTGAAGGGTGTGATTACCGATCGGTAATTTCGACAGTTTAGAATTTAAAATTTTTTATGGAACTGTTGCGAGTTTCATAAAGAATTTAAGGAATATAAGCAAAGATTTGAATCAAAATCTTAGACCTAAGCCGCTCGATTCGCTCGCGGCTTCCGCGAATTACAGATCAGCAAAGATTTGAATCAAAATCTTCGAACTAAGCCGATCGCTTCGCTCGCGGCTTTCTTTATTATTTTAAATTTGCATATTTCCATCAAAAGTTCATAAGGTAAAAAATTTCGTTTATTTTTACTAAGAAAAAAAAGGTTTTTGATAATAAATTTATTTTATTTCGAAAAAGTAGCAATAATCGTAAAAGGGTATTGATAGGCTTGCTAAAGTAACTAATTTTAGCTGTCAAATACTTTTGTATTTTGAAGTAAATTAGTATAAATTTGTTTTTACTTTTATTTCGAAAAAGTAGCAATAATCGTAAAAGGGTATTGATAGGCTTGCTAAAGTAACTAATTTTAGCTGTCAAATACTTTTGTATTTTGAAGTAAATTAGTATAAATTTGATATTATTTTAACTCCCTTTGAAAACCTCAATTTTCCATACAGAGGGAACGGGAATAGCATCCAATATTCCCTGAGAATGGTTGCGCATTCTCAGTTCCCTCTATATTTCGAACGAAGCTCTCATCGGTCTTTTTTTTAATACTAAACGTTTTTTTCCCCTGTCACTTTTAGCTAAAATTTGGGTTTGCCCATATATTCTTCCGGGACTTTCCTTGATTTTACCGTAAAATCATTAGTTTACACCAATTTTTCCGTATTTTGAATAGTTTACTGCACTTTTTCCGTAAAATTGAGTTACGGGAATCCGCAAAATTTCCGGACCTCATTTTTCATAGAATATAATAATAATATTTGATAAAAAGATATATTATTTATATTTTTGATTTTTGAATTACGAAAAAAGTGAATTGATAACTTGATTTTTTTATATGGTTAATTTTTCAAATGATATTATGTAGATCTAAAATATTAAAAGTAAAAAATTGAATTACGGAAAAAGTGAGGTCAAAAGTGAAATAAATTTGCAGAACAATTTTCATTGAAATAAGCTTTATTTTTCATTATTAATAACAATGCTGTAATAAACAGAAATTCATCAAAAGTGACAGCTCTCAATTTTTTGACATTTGTAAATTCTAAATTGAATGAGAAAAATGAAATAATACTAAGCATAATACAATATTCTAGATTTAATTATAATTAGGAAAAAGTTAGTTTTGAGAGTACTTTTCATAGGCATATAGAATGAAATCTTCTGAAAAATAATATCACATAAACTCATATTATTTTCTAATATATAACTATTTTATATAAAAATCAAATTCAATGATCTTAAAAGCGAAGGATAAACCTCAAAATTTACGAATATAATGAGTGGGAATATAATGCTTATCTATCATAAAACCATATGAAATATCAATTTTTGCTTTACGCCTAATTTTTGACGACAATTAGCAAAAAATGTTAAATGTTAACACTCAGTCCATTTGAATATGAAAAATAAAATTGACTTTGATTAAATGTTTTTATTTATCATGCAATTCTTCTTGCGACCAAAGATTTGAATAAAAGTTCAAAAAATAAGATAGCTTAAAAAATAATATACGGTAGTGTTTACTAATAGATGAATAGTATATAAATTCTATTAAAATGGATTTGATCCAAAAAAATATATAAAATTTGATCATAAATAAAATCGTTTTAAATTACTTCTTCATTTAAATTATAACAATTATTTTTGGTTTTATAGTTTTTAAAGCTCATGTGGTTTTTTTAACCACAGAATACTTATGTGCTGTAGCAAGCTTGCAATCCAAAGCTCACGTTAGACAACAAGAGTCATGAAGTCTCATACTAAGGGATATCCAACATATATTTTAATAATCTAATGTTTGTGACAAATATTCAACATAAAATTAAGTTTTCGTTTCGTTACAAGGCATTCATACTTTGGAGATATCATATTTAATGTACAGAAAAGTTAATATTAAACAATACATGCTAAAGAATTAATAAATAAGATAATAAAATAAATTTATACGTAATTACTTTCATTTAATATGCTTTATGCTGTATAATATTGATTAAGAGGCATTAAAAGGTTCCATAATCTGCTTTTATAGGCAAGATTTTTGATAAAAATTTTAAATTTTGAAAAATGATGAGAAAAGGAAAAAAAAGGTAAATGAGAGCAAGAGGAGGGAAAAAAGAAAAAGAAAAGGAAGGGAAGGGAAACATAAAAGAAAGAAGGACATATAAAAATTTAGATGCGCATTCTTAATGCCGAGGCGGCTTGCCGCCGAGGCGCGATTTTTTTAGGCCTCTACGGTAACCCGGCAATGTTTTTTTAAATCTTGTACAGCCCTATAGACAACATATATCGTTGAAGGTTGAAAATAAAAATAATTAAATATATGTATTTATTCGTATTACAACCGTAGTAAGTCGATTCTTCCTTTCTTCTACTGAGATAAATAAGACTTTACAGAGTATTATTATATTATAATCAAATGAAATTACTAATCCCAACCAATTTCAGAATCCTTAAAAGGTTTTCTTCGATACTTATATTTAGAAAAGTTGCAAAGAGTGGTTAAGTCTTGCTCTGTATAATTTGTTCTATTTATATCCAGCCTGAAAGACGGATCCAATAAATACTTTAATCTTGGATCTTTGGGAATCAAATATCGCAAATGAGCGTACATTTCTCCCTCTCTTCTTCCCCAAACATTAGTTCGGCAGTAATTCTGTTTAAATATAAAGTTATGCGTATTAAATGGAGGAGCATTCCAATCACTGTGTGCAAAAGTTGCGAGTTTGTGTTGATATTTTTCGTAGTTATCAAAACAGGAACTGCAATGCGTAGCTGCAGGATCAAGAGGGAAAAAATCGTATTTGAGACCTCGGGCTGATGAAAATCTTTCGAAATCTCCATACCATCGGAAGTATCTAACAATATCCCATCTTTCAATTATGGAAAAGTAGTTTGGAGATGTAAGGTAGCCAAGAAGAACATAGCCTGTTTCTGGACGCTCCAATTCAAGCAAATCCATTGCGTATCTTATTGGTATTTCGTCGAGGTCTGAGAAAATAATAAAATCTTCTTGATTAGGTCCGTATTCTTTTAGTGCAGGATAAAGGGCGCTTCGTGCAGAATTCTCCCTACACCATGTATCGTGAAAGTATTTAGCATCTGCCGGTGTACATCCTACATCTTTAGTTATCCAATGTATTTTTGATTCATATTTACTAATTTCCTTTTCAAAAGGATATGTAGATAAATTGCGTACCTTACCTGAGAACGAAACTGTTCCAGCATATATAATAAATTTATCAACGTAAGGATCAAGTCTCCAAAGTCTAGTGTATAGCATTCCGGCTTCTCCATTATAGAGAAAACAATCAAAAACTCTATGCTTGTTAAACTGCATTTTGATTTTTGGTTTATGAAAAGAGATCAATATATTGTAAAATATCAGGAATGAAAGCACTATTCCATGTAAAGTCGATTGACTGAAATCATTCTTTCTAGACAAACTCATGAAATGATCCTGACTATGTTAAATTTAAATCTTCTCTCCGACCAAATGGTCTGTATCGGTCTTCGTGTCACATTTCTTCATTTCGAGGCGATTTTTGCACTTCGAACATGAAAAATTTCCGTTATTGTCATCATGCATTTGTGCTACAGCCTTTTGGTCCCCAAAGGACTAAGGATTCTGTAATTACTCGAGCAGGGCAAGATTCTTCCGAGATCTCTCATTACATCGGAAGATCTCGGAAGAACCTTGCCTTAAACTACTCAATTACTGTTCCCTGGGATTATGTAGTTGATCTAATAAGATAGAGTTTTTCCGAAGTCTCTCATTTGATGAGAGGCCTCGGAAGAACTCTGCCCTAGTGTAATAGTTGTTGTACCCTGTCAACAATGAGCGAGAGAGCATGTCTGTAATTCGTTTATGCTGAAGTTATCTGTATGTCTCTCAAATGAGAGAGGAAATCCAGATAACCTCAGCACAAGTGAATGCATATATGATTCTCTGGCCAAAGAACGAATAAAAAGTTTATTGGGTGAGTGAGCTCGATGAATGCCTACTCACTGCAAACATACGTTATTTTTTTTCCTATGAGGGGTACAACAACTACATTACACTAGACCAGGGATACATTTTTGTGACTATCTCACTTTATGCAATGCATTACTGAAAATTGTCGTATAAGTTGCAAATTTCACCCCTTAAAAAAATGAGTTTACAATAACGGTTGGAACAACCGATATAACCGCCAAGTTGATAAATTTTAATTCAATTTTTAAACTATTTCCATTCAAAAAAAGGCGCCAAAAATTTCCCATGGACGAACGAGGTCTTCAAGTAACAAGCACAGATGGTATGCAACAGATGACTGATCAACCATTGGATCAGTATGCTGCCCTGCAACAGATGCAACTATACCAATTAACTCAGCCAGAGCAAGCAATGACAATGCAACATGCACCAGGCCGTGGGGTTTGGTCTCAGCAGGAGGATGAGCTGCTTACAAGAGCTGTTATGCAATTGGGTCCAAAGAAATGGCAGGATATTAGTAGATTTGTTCCTACTCGAACAAGCAAACAATGCCGTGAACGCTGGTTTAACTGCTTGAATCCAAATAACAAGCATGGGGCTTTCGAGCCTTGGGAAGATCAGATTATTATCGAAAAACAAAAAGAAATTGGTAACCGATGGTCAAGTATTGCTCACCTTTTACCTGGTAGAAGCCCAGGTGCTGTCAAGAATCGATGGTACTCAGGCTTGAAGAGTTTCCACCCAGCCGCTTCGATGGGTGGAACTTCTTTAAATCCATCCTTAGAAACAAACTTAGATACAACACAAATGACCCCATACCAATCTTAAATGTCTAGTAATTCCGTCCAAGATATTGTCTTATTAATTAAAAATCTAACAAAAATTATGCACTTTTTACCGAATTTAAAAGCATGAAGCATATGAATTTGGAACATTCCTTAGTATATATTTCATTATATTCACAAATTTATATTTGAATTTTCTACGTAAATTTTAAATTAAAATTAGAAGAGATATGAACATTCACTTTGCTGGATCAAAGTCAATACTTTGTAAAGTACCAGTAAATATTTATCCAGATCTTTGAACATTTTACCAAAGTTTAAGGATGAAATGTAAATATCTGAACAATATACTTCTCGTTCTTCAATTAAATCTATTATCGGGAGAAATTATGTCCAAAAGTAGTATATGTGGAAGGGTTTAGTGACTTTTTTTGTTACGTCTATATATAGATGAAGGTATATTTTCACATCTTCTATATATAGATGATATAAAAATTTTTCTTACGTTAGTAGTAGTATATGATGGGTTTTGTGACTTTTTTTGTAAACGTAAGAATTCATACAATATTGAACGATTTTGTATCATTATTTTTAACATTAATTTTAAACATAATTTATTTTTTTATTCTTACATAAATGACCCAACAAGTAAAACCAGATAAAATAGATTATCGAATTTTAGAGGATGGTGTTCCTGTTTATATTCAAAGATTTAAAGGGAAGCAATATTATAGAATTCTTAATCCTGAATACATAAAACATTTATTTAAAAAGGAAGACTGTGAATTATTAAACGCTAATGAATATGAAACCAATAAATCAAAATTGAAATATAAATATCTTGGAAGAGATGAAAGATGCAAAAATAAAGATAAAGTTTATACAGTTTCATATAATGAATGGAAAACCAATAAGATAAGAAAACATTTAGGAGATTATGGGAAATGTTCTGAATTCTTCAAATCTAGTATGTACGAGAGAGTAAAAGAAATTAGAAATAATTATTTTCATGAATGAAAGATTCACTACCATAATGAAATAAAAAAAATAAACTTTAAAAATTCATGTCTTACATTTTTGAATAATTTATTTTTTAATTCGTAAGAAAATGAGTGGATCAAGATTCGTAACCGTCAATCAATTAATGGATGCTCTTTCACCAATTCTTGAAAATGTTAAACAGGTAGATGTTTATTTCGATGATTATGTAGAAAGTTAAAAAAAAAAAAAAAGGTAGTGGGGCTTCCAGGCACTTCGTGCCCTCTAGCCCCGAAGATGTTTAGTATAAATGAAGTTTTTATTCGGAAAATTGTTAGTCTTCTGGTGTGAATTCGGAGGACTCTTCTTCTTCCTCCATTGCTTCTGGGAAGAAGCCTTCTTCTGGGTCGAAAACATTATATAATGTGTCGCTTTTCACAAATTATATATGTTTTCATGTTTTGTCACTTTTCTGTCACTTTTCAGGAAAAAACATTTTTATTATTATATATAAATGAATTTTACAAAACCACCGTTACCGTTCTTTGGAAATAAGAGTAGATGTAAAGATATTATATTGAGAGAACTTAAGAAACTACCGAATGGTCTAACATTTGTAGATTTGTTCGGTGGAAGTTTCTATATATCCCATTTGTGCCATATAATATTCCCAGACTCAAAGATTATATGCAATGACTTCGACAACTATATGGACCGTCTCAAACATATACCAGACACTAACAAAATATTGAGTGAGTTAAAAGAAAAGATACCTATAGGTAAGATGGAACGTATACCATTAGATAACAAAAATATTGTGAGAGAGGTTTTGAAAAAAGCAGAATATATAGACTGGGATAGTATATCTGCTAGACTATTATATAGTGGTTCTATAAGAGTTCATGACATTGAAACACTTATGTCAAAAGTTTTATATCTTAACTATACAAATGTTTTCAAAGAGGACATAGAAAAATATATTGAGGGTATAGAGTTTGTGAGATGTCATTGGACAGATTTGTATGAAAAATATAAAGACAAGGAAAATGTTTTCTTTATAGTGGACCCGCCGTTCTATAACACATGGGATTTTCAATACCAAGTAGACTGGACTTTGAGAGACTCTTTAGAAACTTTAGACGTTTTACATAACCATCCATGCTTTTACTTTACATCCGATAAAAGTGGTTTGGAAACCGTTATGAGATGGTTAGAGGACATACATGACTATGAGTTTATATATGACAAGATAGAATATGAGAGAGGTCCTATAAACTGGAGAAAGTGTCATAACAAAGAAATTTTATTAGTAAGTAAATGTGGTTTGAAATAGGACTACTTGTTTTAGGTTTTTTCCATTGTGTCATCTATTTATTTGACGTGGCAGAAAGATATAGAGAATATGAAGATGAACCAATGCCTGCAAATGTTCAGTATATGTACTCGTAAGAGATATTTTTATCTAATATTAAATGGACGCACAGAACTTAGCGAATGCACAGCAACCTGGACAACCAAACCCAGAGAATATTCCAAATGAAGTTAGAATACAAACTGCAATGGCAAACTATGGTCAAGTGCCAACAGATGTACAAATGCAAACTGCCATGTCAAATGACGCTGCGTTAGGTTTGCCACCATGGTATGCAAATATGAGATGGAAAGAGTTTTATACAAACCCTGAAGTGGGATATAAACAACTTTATGCAGATGACGCGAACACAGGAGTTGACCCAGAATATGTTTTCTACCAGAGGAGAAACAGAATGTATGAGCTCCAGTTAAAGAATGCTATGGAACTCAACAGGAAACGTAAGAGACTAGGCGGACATTAGATTTTTACATATAGTAAAATGGGTTTCTTCAGTAAGATAGGAAACTTCTTTCGAAATGTTGGAAGAGGTATATGGAATGGAATAAAAACCGTAGGAAGAGGAATTTGGAACGGAGTCAAAAATATTGGTAAAAGAGTAGGTCAGTTTGTTGGTATTATACCTAAAGACCCTGAACCAGAAGAACAAGCTCCTGTTATACAACAGCCTGAACCTGCACCACAGTCTAGTTGGCAACCAAATCCAACACCTCAACCGTATTAAAAAGTTATATTTTTACCGTTCGATAGTAGTTGTATATGAAACTAAGTTCTAAGTAAAACGCATGGTATAATGGAATTATTCTTTTTCTTCCATCTGTAGTAAACCATACTTGAAAGTCTGAAATACTTCCACTTGGTGGTTCGTATAACTTTGTAGGTTTTTCGTAAAAGTCATTTGCCAAGCATAAGAAAGAGTTTTGGGCGCCAGAAAATGAAGCATGAACAATAATAGCAGCTGGGTCGAAAACATCTTTAAATAAATATGGTTCATCTCTTGCATATCGACTGTAAATATTTGCTAAAGGAAGTTTGACTTTCTGATTTAACATTCTTTGCAAATAATACCATGACATTGCAGTGAATTCTGTATATATTTGTTCGTCTTTCTTTGGATTGTTTTCGTAGATTTGAAATGACACTTGTGAATTTTGTTTGTCATATACAATTCTCACATAAAGTGTGCTCTCGGTATTTGCATATTCATCAGCATATTTTGCATAACATGAATTTATTTTATCTTCTATATTTTTTAACGCAGTCTGTAGAGAAGATGAAAGGTCAACTTGTATTAGCTCAATTTCTTCCCACATTTTTCGTTTCCCTTCAGATATATAATCTATATGAAACCTTACAATAAATGGAAAACTTTTATCTTCTACAGACACAAACTTCATTCTACGAAAGCCAATAGCTTTTGTGACAGATGGGTCTCTTAACCATCTTAATGGGTAGTCAAAACGATAGCCTTCATGCTTTACGGTCTCTGTCTCAAACTTTTGACCGACATTAGTAAAAAGTTCATCTAATGGTTTAGTTGTAGCAACTCTTGAATTTTCTTTTTCTATTGGAAGCATATTTTATCTATAATAAAAATGTCAAATGAAACAGCGTCTATGCGAGAAATACAACACAACCGACAACTCATTATGCAAGCTCTAAATAAGAACACAACAAACTTTTCAAACTATTCTAAGATATCTGAGTCATTGAAAGAAGGAAACTTAAAACTGACATTAAACCCAATGACAGATGAGTTTCTGTTTCAAGACAATAAGAACCATACTGTCTGTATAAATCCAACAAAAGGAACTTTAAACGAGAAACCTATAAATGAACTTCTTTTGAAAGCAGATGTTGACAACAAAGCTGACAAAGAATATGTAGACGATGCAATAGCAAAAGAAGAAGAAAGAGCTAACAATGCTTATGCAACAAAAGAACATACTCATCCTGAACTAGCAGACAAAACATATGTTGACAATAAAATGTCAAGTGAAGTGACAAGAGCTGAAAACGAATATTCTAAAAAAGATCATACACATTCTATATCTGAAATAACAGACTTACAAGAAAACCTTAAACAGTAAAAGTGCCGTTGGACATACACATACCATTGCAAATATTACAAACTTACAAGAAACCTTAAACAGGAAAAGTGCCGTTGGACATACACATTCTATATCTGATATTACAAACTTACAAGAAACCTTAAACAGGAAAAGTGCCGTTGGACATACACATACATCTTCTGAAATAACAGACTTAAACGTTAGCCTTGAAAAGAAAGCAGAAAACATATGTCAATGAAATATACCAAAGTTTTGATAGGAACAACAAAAAATATTGAAACTATTGTTGGTGACTTTTCTGTCAATGAAGAAAACAAATATTTTTAGATGGGAGTTTGTACACTCCTTAAAAAATGGTATACGGTAATAAACTCATTCCGAAAATAACAATGAAATGTATGTAGGCTATATAAAGAATAATGGTACACAAGTTAAAGTTCCATTAGACAACAACTGCTACTTAAACTTATATGGAGAACGAAAAAAGAAATATTTAAGAGTTTATGAAATGACAGATATGACATTACCTAACCCAGCTCCAGCACCATATTATTATGACTATGGTGTTTGACGCACATGTAGACCCAAAAAAGCAAACATTATATTTAGAATATTATAGAT